CAGAATTCTATCAGACATTTAAAGAAGATCTACATCCAATACTACTTAATTTATTCAAAAAAATAGAAATGGAGGGAAAACTTCCAAATTCCTTCTATGAAGCCAGCATCACTCTAATACCAAAGCCAGGTAAAGATACAACCAAAAAAGAAAACCATAGGCCTATATCCTTAATGAACATAGATGCAAAAATTCTCAACAAGATCTCTGTGAGTTCAAGGCCAGCCTGGTCTACATAGTGAGTTCCAGGACAGCTGGGGCTACAGGGAGACCCTGTCTCAAAAAGACCGAAAAAAAAAAAAAAAAAGATAAAAAAAATTCTTCAAAGCAGAAAAACAACAACAACAAAAAGGAACATATTTGATGAACATACAAAACATTTTTATCAAAAGTAAAGAAAGAACATAAGTGTTTTATTAAAAAAAAAAGAAGAAAAACTTCAGTCATCAAGAAAGGGTATCTGAAGCTGGGTGTGGTTGCACACATCTTTAATCCCAGCACTTGGAAGGCAAAGGCCAGTAGAACTCTATGAGGTCTCAAAAAATAAAAATAAAATGGCAGTATGTTTGGGAACTGGGGAGATGGCTCAGTGGTAACATTCTTTCAGAGGACCTGAGTTGGAGTCCCAACATCAGACAGCTCACAACTGTGGGTAAGTCCAGATACAGGGGATCTGATACCTATGTCTCTGCAGGCTCCAGCACTCACATGCACAGACACAGATACATGACTAAAAATAAAACTTTAAACGCTCTATTTGCAGGGAAAATTTAAAAAAGTTTTTTTGCATGGCAAGGTGGCACAAACCTTTTATCTTAGCACTTGGGAGCATAAACAGGCAGACCTCTGTGAATTCAGGGCCATCCTAGTCTACATAGCAGGGTCCAAGATAAGTCAGGGTAGCATAGTAAGAGTATATTTAAGAAAAAACATCATTAAACTTTAGAACTAAGAACGTAACAACCACCACCAGTTTTTAAGAACAAGTAAAGGCTTGGGATAAACAAGGAAAACACAGGTCAAGAATCTATTCCAGGGGCTCTTCAGTAAGAGCACTGGCTGCTTTAGCTGAGGACCTGGGTTCTGTCCCAGCACCCACATGGCAGCTAACAACCTTCTGTAACTCCAGTTTCAGGTGAGACAGATGCCCTCTCTGACCTCCACAGGAATGGCACACACAGGTGCACTTACATATATGAGAATACTCATAACACATAAAATGAATATATTTTTAAAAGTTAAAAAAGAGCTGGGCATGGTGGTGCACTCCTTTAGTCCCAGCACTTGGGAGGCAAAGGCAGGTGGATCTCTGTGAGTTTGAGGCCAGCCTAGTGTACATAGCCAGTTCCAGGCCAGGTGAGGCTACAGGGAGACCCTGTCTCAAAAAGATCAAAAAAGAAAAAAGAAAAAAGAAAAAAGAATCTACTCTAGGTGCTGGAGAGATGGCTTAGTAGTTAAAGAGGACATACTGCTCTTTCAGAGGACCAGAGTTTGATCGTTTCCCATCACCCATGACCAGCAGCTCAAAAATGCTTTGGACTCCAGCTCTAGAGTGATCTAACACCTCTGATTTCCATGGGTACCTGCACACCCATGTGCATATCCCCGCACTGACACATACACAAAATTTAAAAATCTGGAAGAGAAATCTATTCCTAAGTTTGGCTCAGTGGCACATGCCTCTAATTCTACCCACACGAGAGGTAATCTGCAGTCCCAGTACTCCTATGGTGAGACAGGAGGTGGAAACGGGAGAGAGTTGCCTGTAAGCTCATGGGTCAGCTATCTTGCAGTACACAATGTGGCAGAAACAACGGAAGACCTTGCTTCAACAAGGTGGAAGGTGAGAAGACTCCCAAAAGTTGTTTCTTATTCTCCACAAATGCACATGGCTTGCGCCACCACAACCACCACCAATAATAAAATAATAACAAATAATCAGTTTTAGGTAAGGAAAATCAATTTGATGGTAAGATATTTTTCATAGATGTTATTTGTCCTTATGTTATTTTTGCATCAATATAAGATTGATACAAATAAATAACGTTTTAAAATGTAATTTAGGGGTTGGAGAAATGGCTCAGTAGTTAAGAACACTGGCTGCTCTTGCAGAGGACCTGGTTTGATTCCCAGCACCCACATGGCAGTTAACAACTGTCTGTAACTCTGGTTCCAGGGAAATCCAAAGTCCTCTTCTGACCTCTGTGGGCACTGCACAACACGGGTACACTTACATAAATGCAGGTAATACTCAAAATATTTTTTTAAATGTAATATAATACATATGGTTGAATGGTTAAGAGCACTGTTGTTTTTGCAGAGGACCCACGTTCAGCTCCCAGCACCCACACAGTGGCTCACTTATATAACATTCAGGCAAAATATTCATACTCATAAAAAAACAAATCTTTAAAGCTGGGTGTGGTGGCACATGCCTTTAGTCCCAGTACTCAGGAGGCAGAGAGGCAGGTGGATCTCTGTGAGCTCAAGGTCAGGCTGGTCTACATAGCAAGTTCTAAGCCAGCTGAGTCTATAGGGAAACCCTGTTTCAACAAAAAGACACCGCCCCCCCCAAAAAATCTTTAAAAAATGTAATATAGGAGCTAGAGAGATGGCTCCACAGTTAAGAGTACTGGCGACTCTTGCAGAAGACCCAAGTTCAAATCCCAATACTCACATGATGACTAACAACCATCCGTGTAAAGTCAATTCCAGGGGATCTAATGCCATCTTCTGGCCTCTGTGAGTACTGCATGACACAAGTACTCTTACATAAAAACGCAGGCCTAACACTCATACAGATAAAAATTAAATAAATAAAAATGTAATATAATCCAAAGATTTCAAACTGTCCTAACCTGACTGGACAACCATCCTGACAATATAAGACCACAGTAAAAAAAAACAAAAACAACTTAAATTCATTATAAAATACAGCTTTCTATATATTTCCATTATGCCTGAGACTATTCTAAAATCAGCATCCACCTTATCTCTATTTGCATGTCTCGTTCAGAAATTCAAAGCTTTTTACAGAGGTAACAAAATTGCACACTTACCTACACCTTGGAACCGACTTAACCTTACAGGATTAATTTCAACTTTTTGGACGTGAGGTGGGTATTCTTTCCTACAAAAGGAAATTTATATGGTTTCATTCAAATAGGAAAGGTGGTTTCAAAATGAAAAAGTTAAAGGGCTATTTATAATACATTTGTTCAAAGTAAATCACAGTCTGTCATGTTAAAAAGTGGTGCTATAAAATAATAGAACTATACTGGGTAAATAAACTAAAGCTAGAAAGCTGTGGCACCATTTCGTATAAACTGTCAATCTATCAGTGCCATAACTACGAGACTGCTAGAATAAGGGTTCACTAAATAAATTCAAAATATTCACTGTTAAAGAGGTCATTTTACTTTAATTTCTTTTTTAGAAACAGTGCCTTATTATGGCCTTAAACTGCTAGATACAAGTGGTCCGTGGCTTCAGCCTCAAGTAGCCGTTCTACAGGCCCTACCTACTACAACTGCCTTCCAATGTAATAACTCTGGAAAGCTACATATTTATTCCTCAAATGCACAAACCTAAGCTTTTTCTTTTAAATTGTCTTGTAATCAGTTTATAAAGTTCATATCAAAACACTTGCAGGTCACATATCATAGTTTGAATAAATTACCCAGGTGAATACCATTCCATTTTCATTTTTGTGTAAATGATTTTAGTTATTTAAAAGCTAATCAATGAATAAGATGAATAGTAAACAAAATAAATATTAAGTAAAATAAGTCTTGAGAACAATTCCAAAATCAGCATAAAAAATACAGCAATTATAGAACAAGTGTTTTAGTCTTGTAATAATGATATTATGGCATATCAAGATTCTTATCTTAAAATATTAAATAATTATGTCAGACTTCACATGTAATTAGTTATTTTAGAAAGATCTCATTATGTAGCCCAAGCAAGCTTTAAATCTGCACTCCTCCTGCCTCAGTGCTGGGAATGTAGCAAGTGCCACTACCTTTGGCTTAATATACAATTTACAATAAACATAATCTTAATAAATAAGTGCCCTAAGTAGTATATCTATGCAAGTCCAAGTATACTGACTTTGAGAGAAAGTAAAGAAGTTCTATAGCTAGTTGTGGGATAAAAAGCATTACATGAAAACAGCAAAGAGGCAATAAATCAGGAGGTACAACAGATATTTTCTAATCCTAAATAAGAATGTCTAAAAGTAGTATTTTGAGCAAAAAATTAAAGAAGCTATTCTATTTATTTATAAATCTGCTCACACTAGTGATTAGTATCTTATAGGACAATGTAATCCATTTGATTAAACAAATCACAATTTTTAAGTGATATATTATCAGCATTTTACAGATGAGAAAACTGAGACATGATGATATTAACTTTCCCAAGGTCCCACAATTATTAAGTGGCAATTTTAGAATCTGAAACCTAGCAAACAATATTAGCAACAATGACTAGAGCTACATCTGGTACAAGTGAGTAATTTTTACCCTGCTAAGATTAAAAATTTGTGAGGATACACGTGAGGGTGAGAATAATGACTTGTCTTAGATGAAGTGGTATCAACGGTGCTCTGTTTATCATAGAGCATGCATGAAGGCCTGGGTTTAATCCCCAGCACTGTGTGTACCTGGGGTGGGGATATAAGCACCTGTAATCTCAGTACTCAGAAAGTGTAGGAAGGAGAATCAGAAGTTCAAAGACAGGGATGAAAAGATGGCTCAGCAGTTAAGAGTGCTTACTGCTCTTGCAGAGAATTCAAGTTTGGTTCCCTGTACTCAGGTGTACATAGACAGACAGAGAGACACACACACACACATATACAAATATTAAAAATAATAAAAATGCGTCTGGGGAGATAG